TCTCTCTCTCTCTCTCTCTCTCTCTCTCTCTCTCAATTTTTCACATCATCTATATATACACTTTCCTCTATCCGTTTCCTCCTGCTCACGTATTCGCTTCTATCGTTAATTCGCGAAAAACGTTGGACAGGAATGTTCGTCATCGTGGTTGGAACAGCTGGCATCGCGGATCTGGACGGTTCTTCTTGGTCTTGCGCTCAGTTTCTGCGCGATTCGAGGCTCCGCCGCCGCTGGGCGCAGTGAGTGTTTGCAGTCCACTCGAAACCAGTCCCGAACGAGCTGGCGCGCGCGCGCGCGACAGAGACGGAGATAGGCGGAGGGACGAGGATGGAATAGAGACAGACGGACAAAGCCGTGGAGTAGACGCTCTGGCATCGAGGCGGGAGGCTAGGAACGAAGCTTAATTTGTCTAACGAGGGGCCTCTGCACCTGTCATCTGGACGAAGATATGGACGAACGGACGTAGACCAACCCTCTCCTCTCCTCCACCTCCTCTTCCTCCTACTCCTTCTTCTTCTAGTTTCATCCCTTAGGAAGCATTTGCTTGCCTGCCTTCCTGCTTGCTTGCTTGCTTGCTTGCTTGCTTTCTTGCTTGCTTCCTGGCTGACTGACTCTCTTTACTTTGACCGCTTACTCGATTCGCTTGCACTATAATGTATGCTTGACCATGATTCATTAGGAAGATCCACGGGATTTAGTCTCATACGAGATGATCTTGGTGGATCGATGGAGGATCAACTTGGTCTTCGTTTCGAGTATCGTAAGAAATGTTGCATCGAAAGAATGTTGTTTAAGATTCGATGACTTTGTGAACGGAATATTTTGTACGACAATAGTCGAAGAGTAATTCTTTATTCGATACAAATTTTTCTTTCTATCTTGATCTTAACTCAATAATAGTTCAAATCGAATATATTAGATTTTTCTTTGTTCGTAGAAGATTTAAATAGACGAAGAAGACTATTAATTTTTCTTTGAAATAGATCAATAATTAAGAATTAGATTAAGAATAGATTAAGATATCTTGATCTTAACTCAATAATAGTTCAAACCTAATCCAACATATTAGATTTTTTTTTTGTTCTTGTAGAAAATTTAAATAAACGAAAAAGACGATTAATTTTTCTTTGAAAGACATCTTGATTTTAATTCAATAATAGTTCAAACCTAATCGAACATATTAGATTTTTCTTTTGTTCGTAGAAGATTTAAATAGACGAAGAAGACTATTAATTTTTCTTTGAAATAGATTGTTAAGACATCTTGATTTTAACTCAATAATAGTTCAAATCTAATTAAACATATTAGATTTTTTTTTTTGTTCTTGTAGAAAATTTAAATAAACGAAGAAGACGATTAATTTTTCTTTGAAATAGATCGTTAAGACATCTTGATTTTAACTCAATAATAGTTCAAACCTAATCGAACATATTAGATTTTTCTTTTGTTGAAGATTTAAATAGACGAAGAATACGATTAATTTTTCTTTGAAAGACATTTTGATCTTAACTCAATAATAGTTCAAACCTAATCGAACATATTAGATTTTTCTTTTGTTCGTAGAAGATTTAAATAGACGAAGAAGACGATTAATTTTTCTTTGAAATAGATTGCTAAGACATCTTGATCTTAATAATAGTTCAAATCTAATCAAACATATTAGATTTTTTTTTGTTTTTGTAGAAAATTTAAATAAACGAAGAAGACGATTAATTTTTCTTTGAAAGATCTTGATCTTAACTCTATAATAGTTCAAACCTAATCGAACATATTAGATTTTTTTTCTTTTGTTCTTGTAGAAGATTTAAATAAACGAAAAAGACGATTAATTTTTCTTTGAAAGACATCTTGATCTTAACTCAATAATAATTCAAACCTAATCGAACATATTAGATTTTTTTTCTTTTGTTCTTGTAGAAGATTTAAATAAACGAAGAAGACTATTAATTTTTCTTTGAAATAGATCGTTAAGACACTTGGTGAAACTATTTGCGAACGATGACGAGAATGCAAGACCGGAGGTGTCGATTCCGTAAAGATGAATTACGATCGTTGGAAGTTGACAGTTCCAGGAGGCGTGATCGGGGGGTGGGTGCACGCGCGACAAGAAATTCTCCGCGCGTGACCGTAAAAACAAAACGTTGTTACACGGTGTGTGATTGATTTACCGAGGGGTGTAAACGCCAGGCACACGCGCGACCTCCTCGTTCCGGACCCTTCGGCCAGGAACTACCGTTTACATTCACTATCCCCACACTGAAGAAGCAACTCTAATTTTCTCGTTAACGCGTTTAATTTTCGTATATCAAGTAGATTTTCAACGCTCAACTCATCAAGTAATTGATCCAATTATTTCTACTGGATAAAATCCATCTCGTTTTATAACACTTTAAAAAAAAAATTTTATCTATATATTATTTTCTCGAAGAAGAAGAAACTCTATTAAAATAAATTCATTAACACTTTTGATAAACTCTCGATAAAATTCTCGATAAAATTTCGACGTTCGAAATTGTCAAACCAAAAAAAAAAAAAAAAAGAAAAAATCTTCCATCCATCCATCCATCCATGAAATCCGTATATAAATACAAACGCAGACGCTTTAGAGCTCCCATTAGATCCCCGGTAGACTCGACGACGAGTCGTTTCCTCGGGCTGGCGTACCGCCACAAGTCCCCGGTAGTGTAACGTCGACAACGGGGAACGATAACGAATCGCTGGCACAAAGCGATAGTCGGCCTGTTCGCCTTTGTAATCTCAGCCAGACAGATCGACACGTAGGGGTGGCGGAGAGGGAGAGGACGGACCCGTGAAAGGCCGGGGGGCAGAGGCTCTCGTTTCGACGACGGTAGCGACAACGGCGATGATGGTTGACGGTGGTGGTGGTGATGGTGATGGTGGTGGTACATCCACTAATTGGATAATTACGGAGTGCACCGCGTTTGTTTTATAATTGGGCGAAAACCGTGGAACCGTTGGTTCCACCTCGACGTGCCAAACAACGAAACGTCCGGAGTCACGCTCTACGTGACGAACTACCCTCGAAGCTAATCCGGGACCGGAACCCCCTCGGCTCGCCGAACCCCTTTGCACGCTCCCGCCTCTGACCCCTGATTTCCAGCTTCGTCCACATCCCTCTTACACCGTTCTCTCCCCTCCTCGCCAACCGCCAAGCAAACGGAATCAATTCTCCACCCTCGTTGTTCCTCGATGTCTCACGCTCGCAGATTTTGAAACGAAAAAAAAAAAAAAAATTTCTTGCATTTGTCATCAAACCATTGGGCTGATGGGCGGATGTTGACGGAGATCGAGGCCTTTAATTGGGACCCTAATCGATTCTCGCAATTTTCGGCAAAACCGTTTCTCGGTGATTTTTAATATGAGTTTAATATGGAGAAGAAAAATCATCGTTCTTTTTTTTTTTTTTTTTNTTTTTTTTTTTTTTTTTTTTTTTTCTTTTCGCTATTGCGTGTACGCGAGGAACGAGGGAAGGAATGGGTCGTAGATTTTTGAGATAGATTTTGTATTAAATTTTTAACCATGACTTTCAGGTATAATTTCTTGGAAAGAAATTATGTCGATTGTAATGTTTGCGAGCAAAAATGAGGATCAATTTTTTGATGAGAAAGTAAGTTGAATAGTGCAATTTTATATCTATATTTTATTTCGTCTTATTTCTTTATTCCTATTTTACTGTATAAATTTTTTTTTTAATAATTTTTTTAATAATTCAAGAAAAAGTATGAAAATATATTTAATTGTAAGTTATAGAAAGTAATTTATTGAATAGAATTGGAATTGAAATGGAATATCGAATGTAATTATATCTTATATAAAAAAATTATAAAAAAATCAATTTAATATTATTTTCACGTTTATAATTATCTTTAAGGAAAAAGATAGATTATTGTTAAGGAAAAATAAACTGGAAATGAGTTAAAATGATAAAAAATATGCGCGAAATATGAAATAAATATACAAGCATAAAAAACGGAGACATCGCCATAATTTCCGATAAGAGGAAAATAATCAATTCCTCATATGCACTTTTCATTCGACAATCGAATTCAATAATTCAATGCTTCTAAAAAACATGATATTTGAAAAATCAATAATTTTGAATTCATCTTAACTTAATTCGTGACAACTGATTTATTTTCTAACATAAACTTATGTTATGTCTATTACTTTTCTTTTTATTTAATTTTTGTTTAAATATCAACTAATATTTTAAGATCGATAAATTAACTTTAAAATATTGAAATATACAGTGACTTACCGTGATGCTGTGAATATAATGTTTGTGGTATTGGTATTGGGTTGTATGATGGTGGCACTCTATTATGGTTCGTATAATGCCTATAAATAAAAAATACATATATTTAATATTACTAAATTGATTAAAAAAAAAAAAAAAAAAAAAAAAAAAAAAATAGCATAAAAATTTTGTCGTTATAACTTACCCAAGTATTCTTTTGCCCGCCTCAGTTAATGAAGCTATTTGTGTCGAAGAAGTGAAACCAATTTGTGGTTTCCAAGTATTTCCAGTGTTACGATTCATTTGATCAAAATCTTGAGGTTTCAAAACTTTTGGTGGTTCTCTAACACCCTTCAATTTTTTCGCAGGGAAAATAAAATTACTACTATATTTTGGATCTCTGAATTTAATACTGTAACAGAAAAAAAATAAATTTATATTTTTATTTTAGAAATAAATAAATTAAAAGAGAATCTAATATATTTTATATATACCAATACACTTTATTATTCCTAATTGGTAATAATCCGTTTATAGGCGAAGGTAAAGTAGCTCCGTCTCCGACACAATCTTCTGTCAATAAAACCGTACCTCGCATACCATCTATACATATTGAAGTTTCTGCATCGGATCGTACATGATTCGTATAAAGTCCCTTCATAAAATTATAACCACTATTACCGAGTCCTATATATAATCGATCGTCTCCTCGAACATTTCGTATTTCTAAAATTATCAATATAAATTTTATACCATAAATATTAAAGAAATTATATATTTACAAAATTGTTGATAATAAAAATTAGCATACTTTCTGCTTCTGTCAAACAATCGTAATATGGCTCTAGTGCCTTGAATAAACGTTTTTCATCCACAAAAGGAAGTAAAGCTACTCCTTGCCAAGCAAATTTTTTACCATTTAAATCAATTTTAAAATCTTCTGGATAAAAATCAATAATTGGTGATTTCTAAATAAAGTTATAAAATTATTAAAATTAAAATATTGATAAATATCATCAAAGTTATTTTTTTATTTTATTTATACACGCGCAAATTTCTACTCACTGGATCACTCATTAATTTTGCCCACGGTGCAGGAACGTGTTTACTACTAGCCGCTGGAAATACACCCATCAATTGTTCTAATGGACGGAACTAAAATGTTCAAAAGAAAAATAATAAATTTCGTTGTAATATAATTTATTAATTATTCGATTTATCTCTTCAAATATTTACTGGTATAGTTCCTTTTTCAAATTCGGTAGAAAGACCACCAATATTGATGAAATCGCTAGCAAATGGAGCATAATGATATGGAAAATACCATTTCCATGAAGCACAACCTTGATAATAATATCGTAAAACCCAACACAAACCACGCACATATTGCAATGCCACATTATTTCTGTAGGTAAATGAATAAAATTTAAAATTCAAATTTTATTGAATATAATATAATTATATCATGAAGTGTTCTCACCTGAATGCCAAATTATCAGGAGAAACATCAAATTTTGATTCATAATAACGATCTTTAAAACCATCTTCCCATAATCTAACTTCATCGTGAGATTGATCATCATCTGAATCATCTTCAAGTACTTCACTTTTTCGTTTTCGTTCATGATCAGTCGAATTCTATAAATAATCGATATATAAATATAATATATAAATATGTATAAAAAATATACACAAAAATAAAAATAGAAATATAGATCATACTTCAGGACGTATCATACTTTCTAACATCTCCTTAGCATTTCCTTTTTCACTTGTATGATAATTTTGACCATGAATACGCATTTGGTAAGCTTCATAACGTGCATTTTGTACCGGTTTAATATGTTCACCAATACGCTGTAACAAAGATGTAATATCATTAAAATTGAAAATCGTTTATAAATATTAAGAAAAACGTACCGTCGGTGCAAATTGTCCCGTAGGAATCCATTTTGGTTTATTATTACTGATTCCCAATAATCTTCTTTTTTTATCTTTTTCACGTTGTTTATAGGCTAATTCATTCTGTTGTCTTTTCTTGAAAATTTCATCTTCAACATCGCCTAATTCAGACATTATAAGTTGAACTCTGTCTAAATTAACATCTCCACTATCTGTTAAAAATCCCTATAATTAATAATAAAAATTATTATTATTAAATATTTCTCATTTCTTTGTTTAATGTATATATATATATATTATAACTGATTTTTATTAGATTTTAGAATTTTTATTCATTTATTATATTATTGATTTCATATTTTAAAAATAAAAATTTTCAAAAACAAAAAAATAATCATAAAATTTTACATAATTATATAAAACATTATTTCTTTATTTTTATCTTTAATATACATTACGTACTCCTGTTTTATATACTGTTTTTTTATATAAATTAACAAGTCTATCTATTGCCCCTTCTCTAATTTCCAAAGATGGAAGGTGAGGAAGAAAATCGTTTCCTACGAAGAAACACATGAACACCCAATCATCGATAACTCGCTCGAAATCGTATTTAAATGGTAGATTAGGCATTTGCAATTCTCTTTCTAAATATTCTCTGAGTACATTTAATCGCACAAATATATACTGGCATTCAGATCCAAAAGTATTCGCTTCTTCCCTCTGATTAGGCTCTGCACCCGTACATTCCTGCATTTCATGTCCTAATTGACCACATATATCACATGGTTTTGGTTTATTTGGCTTAAACTCTTCACGAATAATAGTAAAATTAGGTTCATGAGTTGCAAGACCCAACATAATTAAATCAGCATCAGCTCCACATAAAACGTGTTGTGTATTAGGATCATGATCAGGTTGTGCTTTTATATATAAATAAAAAAATTTTAAATTTAATTTTTCACATGATATAATAATACCTTAAATATGTAATTGTTTACTTCTTGTTTACCTCTTTGTCTACGTATAAAATCCATTATTTTATGTTCTCCTTCTCCTGGCACATTTGCATCACTCAAAATTACTTTTATATTTCTCCATCCAGGATCATTGTTTAAACGGTCATGTATATAATAATGCAAACATTTTGATAATCTTGCCATAAATGGTGTACCCTAAAATTGAATTAATTATATACAAAATTGTTTTTTGTATATAAAATTTAGTAATGAAATTTTATATAAACCGGTGTAATGCAATTGCTATCAAAATGCTCTTCTTTTGGTTTTTCAGGAGGTAAAGATGCTCCTTTAAGAGATAATTCAGAACGTATTCTTTTTATTTCGTTAATTTTTTCACTTGCTTCTTTTGATGCTCTAAATCGTCTTGATCTTTGTTGATTCATTTTTGCTCTAGGTGCCTGAGAATATAACACATATATAATTACTTTTATAATCAGTAATAAAATTAGATTCTAATAATCAGATAAACACTTACAACTCCATCAATTGCCATGTAAAGTAATTTTCTTGGTCTTACAATGCGAAATAAACGGTCAATGCATTCAAAAATAGCTTCCATCATTTCATCCTCATTTTGTGGTGCAGGTCTTAAAAAATATTTATTATTACATAGTAATTTAATTATCTTATAACTTAATAATTATTTCTTCAAATATTTACCTATCTTCAGGATGAGTACAAGGATGTATAATGCCATTCATATCAAGGTATAAGTTATCAAATTCTATTCCATTTGGATTTGGTTCTGCCGAATTCACTGGTACTCGTATACCATTCGTAGTTATCGGCTATAAAATCATATTATTTCATATAGATATTATAAGAAAAATATTCTTCGTCCACATAAATAATCTAACCTACCTTCTGCTCGATACATTCTACTATTACAGAAGGGTATTTTCGACTCAACCATCTAAAAAATGCTGGTACACCCATTTTCTATTATTAATTCGTATTTCTCTAAACGACTTATTTTTTTTTTTTAATCGTTTTCAAAAATTTGTTGATAAATGAAACGAGTACAACTGTTTTAATCGTACACTCATATTTAACCTATAACATAGATTTATAGATTAAACTTAGTACACAATCTCAACTTGTGTGCTGCCATCTTTAGTAATTTTATAGCCATAATAGATAATTACTTTATTTAAATTGTAAATAATAATAAAGCTAGATGCATAGAAAGTTGGTTTCGTATAACATTTTAATTAATTAAATTTATTGATTGTATTTATAAGTATAAATTTTGATAAAAAAATATAAAATGATTAATATAAAAATTAAATAATTATTTTACTTTACCACTCCCCATATTTTGTCAGTTACTCATGATAAGTGCGAAAAAAAGCGAATATAGTTATAGGTAAATGTATTTAATAAAATAGTATTGAATATTATAATTTTTTTTTTTTTTTGTATTTTCTATTAAAAATACATTTAATTTAAATAAATGTAATTATATTATTTTAAAAAATATTCAATTCAATTTAATTGTAATTTTATTTCTATAACTAGGTAAGTAAATTTTAATTGTTTTTTAGTATAGTTGTTCAAATAAGATTACTTGCTTATTAAATATAATTTTTTAAATAAAAAATAATTTTTCAGTAGTTATAAAATATAAAAAAAATAATATTCAATATGAAAGAAGAAAATATTTTATATGGGCCATCATTATCTGATGTGAAATTTAAAAATATATCATTAGGACAATTGATTTTAAATCAATTAAATATTCGTGATTCTTGGATAGCACAAGTAATAATCTTTTTTCTTTTTATTAAAATTTATATAGAAATAATGTATCTACTTTATATTAGTTAAAATAACTTTAATTTTTTCAGATAGATGCTTATACAGGAAAAACACAAACATTTAAAGAAATCTTAGAAATTAGTCGAAAATTAGCAATTGCTCTTAGTAAAGAAGGATTAAGAAAAGATGATCGAATAGCTATATGTAGTGAAAACAATCTAGAATTTTGTTTAATAGTATGTGCTGCATTTTATTTAGGTGTTACTGTTTGCCCATTGAATCCACTTTATACAGAAAGAGAATTAAAACATGCATTAAATATATCTAAACCAAAATACATTTTTATATCGATATTTGGAGCAAAAAATATATATAAAATTATACCTCAATTATTCTGGTTGCCAAAACTTATAATATTAACGGAATCTACAAATAATAAATTACCAAGTATTAATAGTCTAACATCAAACATAATCATTGATAATAACTTTCATGCCTGTTCAGTAAATGTTAATGATCATGTGGCAGTTATTTCATGTTCCAGTGGCACTACAGGATTGCCAAAAGGAGTGATGTTAACGGATAAAAATTTTTTGTCTGTAATAAAAAATCTTGCAGCTGTATCGCCTAATATTTTAAATACCAATACAACAAGTTTAGCCTTATTGCCCTTTTTCCATGTGTATTCCTTTTCTGTAATGTTAGTAGGACTTATTTTTGGAAATAAAAGTATTATTCTCCCACGTTTTGAAGAAAAAATGTTCTTACATGCCATAGAAAAATACAAAATTGAGCATATAACTGTTGTACCACCACTCATGGTATTTTTAGCAAAACATCCAATTGTAGATAAATACAATTTATCTAGCATTAAAGAGATTTGGTAAATTAAAAAAAAAAAATTTTATTAGAAAAAGATTTTTAATTTTATCAAAAATCATTCATATCTTTTATTAGGTGTGGTGCAGCACCTCTATCTGAGGAAATTGCAAAAATGGTTGCAAAAAGATTAAATGTACCAATAATAAAGCAAGGATATGGATTAACAGAAACTACATTGGCTGTTATGAACTCACCTGATAATAATACAGAATATAAAAGTGTAGGAACGTTAGTTCCAGGAATAGCAGGTAAGTTACTAAAAATTTGTTTTATAAATTTTATCTTAATGAACATTAATCATTTATCTTTATGAACCTTTTTCTTATATTTAGCAAAAGTAATACCAATCAATGGAGATAAATCAAATAAACCTCTAGGACCACATAATATTGGTGAATTATGCTTCAAAGGAGATTTAATAATGAAAGGATATTGTGATAATGAACAGGCTACAGCAATAACAATTGATAAAGATGGCTGGTTACATTCAGGAGATATAGGATATTATGATGAACAGGGTTATTTCTATATAGTAGATCGTTTGAAAGAACTCATTAAATACAAGGGATTTCAAGTTCCACCTGCTGAATTAGAAGCAATATTATTAACATGTCCTGAAATTAAAGATGCAGCAGTTATTGGATTACCACATGAAGAAGCAGGAGAACTACCGACTGCTTTTATTGTTAAACAAAAAGGATCTAATATAACGGCGGAAGATATTATTAAATTCGTAAATGGTAAATTATTAATCATTTAATTAATAATTCTTTATGTTTAATTAATGAAATATATTACAGAACGAGTATCGAGTCATAAACGACTTCGAGGTGGCATAAAATTCATTGAAAATGTTCCAAGAACTGCGTCAGGAAAAATTTTGCGTCGAGTATTACGTGATACGCTCAAATCAAAATTATAAAATATCAGCAAAAAAACATGAAATATTATCAATTTAAACATATTCTTTGTTTATATTTATATTCGTTTTAAAGAGGCTCAAAAGATGTTATAAGTATAAATAATTACTAAAATAATTCAAAAATTTCTATCAGAACATATTTCTTATAAACAATGATCGAGTTTTTACTAATATTTTATAATTTTTTTAGTTTATTTCATAAAAAGTTTGAAATATAAAAAAAAAATTACATGTTTTCTATTCTAGTCATATTAATAGAATATTTTGATATCTGATCTCCTATTTAAATATATATTAAATATTTTCTGTAAAATTATATACATTATTGTTCTAATTTTTGCTTTAGTTCGTATGGTATATTATTCAAATACCATTGGTGATTTTGACCAGGTGCAGTAGCTAATACACCTCTTTCATTAGAATATGTTGTTTCTGCATTATAAGAATAGAACTCTCCATAAATATCAGTTAATGTACCACCAATAGCATGAAGAATAGCTTCAGGGGCACAAGTATCCCATCTTTTACAACCATTACTAGCAAATACATAAGCATGAGCTTTCCCTTCCATTAAAAGTATTACCTATTGAAAAAAAATAAAAATACTAAAATTATTTAGAAAATAATAATTCATTCATGCAAAATTTTATATTATTCTAATTACTTTATATCCAGCACCACCAACATGTAAAACTTCATCAGGAGATAAAGCATTTATAGCTGCTTGAACATTACTGTTTGAATGTGAACTGAAAAAATATGTTTATAATTTTCTCTTTAAAATTTAATTAACTTAATTATTTTAAAATAAAATTATACCTTGTGGTTGTAACTATTATTTTTCCATGTGGTGGAGCAATTGGTGCAAACCCACCAAATCCTACACCATTAATACCCCAAAGAGTACGTCCTAGTATTTCATTCTCATTATTTTTGTAATATGGTTGATGAATTACACCTCCAATTGCTCTATGTCCAATTGCCACTCCTACTAATACTGTAACATGTTCTACAAGGCCTTGTGCATATTCTGATGTTCCTAAAAATATTAACTTGAGTTAATATATTTTACAAATAAAATATATTTACATAATATAATTGAAATAAATAATATATACAAATACCATCTAATGGATCTACCCAAATACACACATCTTTAGGATCTATATTTTCCAAATGGGTTGGTAATTTTAATTGTAACATTTCTTGATCTGCATCAGTTACAATCCAATCATATGGTATATCACAGTTTGATGGTTCCTCTTCACCAATAATAGTAATATTTGGAAACTGTTGACTTAATGAAGCAATAATACACCTTTGAGCACAACGATCAGCTTCAGTTTGTAAATCATTTTTGCCCTTTTCTATTATATTTAAACTTCCATGAGTCATAACATCTCTTATGATTTTACCTGCTCTTACAGTAGCAGATACAGAAGTGGCCATTATTCGAGATAATAAACAAGCACTTTGGGCCATTTTATAATTTATTCCTGTGATATTAAATATTTACACTATTTTTCTTAACAAGAGTCACTAAATCTTTCACTTACAATTCTTCAAATATATTTCACACATGATTATTCTAGATCATAGGCACTATGAAAAAATTATAACAAAAAGCTTAGAAAGTAATATTTATTTTCAAGGTTATATTAAGTAATACAAGAAAATAAAATATCATAAACTTCTTTCTAAAGCTACATATTAACTTTTTAATATTTTAGTAAGTTAAATAATAATAATTTCTTTATATTTATATTTGTTAAATATTGAAAGCAATGTAAATGAAATTTCTAATAATAAATATATGAAATGAAGTGCATTCAATATTTTTTTAAATTATATCTCTAGATAGTAATTACTATAATATTTCAAGAAATCATAATTTTTATAAATTTCTATAATAAATATATAAAAAAAATTAAATAAAAATGTTGAAAATATTTAACTTTATTTCGAATAAAAATATAAATTTTGATTTAAAAATTACATTATAAAATGTAAAATTAGCTTAATTAGTTTTTCTGTTATATATAGGATCAAAAAATTAATATTAATAATATTTAATATTGATTAATATAATATCATTATTTTTAAATTATAAAATAAAAAATAAAAATAAAAATTAAATTTATAATTATATGTAAAATTAATAATAATTACTTAATAATTCGTAATATCAATTAAAAAATTAATGAACAATTATAACGAATTGCATCACTATTCACATAATAATTCAAACATTTAACTAAATACTATATATCAATATATATAATAAATTAAAATTATATAAAGAATCATTTTTATACTTTAGTATTATAGATTTGATTATTTTGTATCATTGTTTTAAAATCACATACATTATGTATATAAATTTTAATTATAATAAAAAATAAAAAATAATGATTGCTTTATATATATATAAATATATAATATATATATATAAATATTTATATATATATGCTATATGTATATTTTTTCTCAAATAATAATATAATAACATAATTTGAAATACCTACTAAAGTGAATTTCAAACTTTATTATCGAATTTTATATCAAATTGTGAAGCTTATAAGAATAACCTTAAAAATATTTTAAAATATAACATTTATTATAAAACAAGATAATAAATAGAATATTAATGACAAATTAATAATATTATCAATTATCTTTATGTTACGAATTACTAAGTTATATAATAATGTTATTTTTTATTTTACAAAAAAATATATTTCGTATTCAAGTTTGCAATTATCATATTGTGGTACAAAATCATCAGATAATACAAATTATTTAAATATTATAAAAAATAATCAAATTTCACTATCTTCTGAATATTTACAAAATATTAATCTTGTATTTAGATGGAAAACTATACAACGTTATTTAAACTTATCTTCAAATAATAATGATCCATTTTTAATAAATGACAAAGTAAGCAATAACTTCGCTACATTAATTAAAGATGATTTATTGTTAAATATGTCTTATGTTGTTGAATTAAATCCAGGATTTGGTTTATTAACAAAAGATTTATTAGAAGCTGGTATAAAATGCATACATTTATATGAAAATCGTAACATATTTTATTTTAAATTACTTGATTTACAAAAAATCTTTCCTAATCAAATTACTATAAGTAAAACAAATTTTCTTAAACTATCCAAGTTGTTATATGTACCTAATAAATTAAAAGAATTTAATAAATTATTTAATAATGTATCCAAAAAAAAATGGGAAGAAGAAAGTTATATGCAAATAATTGGAATATTAATTAATTCTCAGTTTATAAGACATATAATATTAAGTATAATATTTCAAACAGGCATTATGATAAATGGAAGAGTAATTTTTTATTTTGCATTACCACCATCTATATGGCATGTTAGTATTCATTTTATATATTCAATATATACAATATTTAATATTTTTTTACTTAATTATAAGTCAAATAACTATAATAATAATTATTATTGAAACATTACATTAATTATCAATATACTGTATTTTTAGAAGTTAATATATCGGAATAAAGGAAGTTTAGTTACTTATATCATGTTTAATACATTATTTAATTATAAAATATTTGGGACATTAGATAATAAAGGATTTTTATCATATCAAAGAAAAAAAAAATTAAAGAAAAACTATAAAAATAAAGAAATTGATGATTTTTTTTATGTTGTTAAATTAGAACCAAAACCTGATATTTTTACATTATTTGGTGAAAAAGAACATATAATCAATTTTTGGCATTTTGTTCGACATAATTTTTATAAACCTTCATCAAGAATAATACCAACTTTGGAGTGAGTATAAATGTATTAGAATTAATATTTGCTCAAAATTTCTATTAAAATATATTATATAATATATAAATATTTTTTCTATTAAAATTTTTTCAGGAAAATAATTCCTGGATGTGGCATAAGATTAATAAAAGAAAAAAATTATAATATATTCACTGAATTTTGCCAGTTAAATGTAAATGAAGTTTTTAATCTTTATATGGATTTTAAATCTTGGCCAGAATTTAAACAAAGTTCATTTTTATCAAGTGTTAATGATATAAAAATAAGTTTTGATCCATTTGCAAATGATTAAATATTAAATATTTTTGAATTATAAAATAATATTATATTTATTATTAATATTCATATTTATAAAATAAATAAAAAATAATGTATTAACTTTGTATTAATTTTGTTTATTAATAATTTTTTTTAAAGATATGCATTTATATAACTGTATGGAAAGATAATGTATGGAAATATAATTTTAAAAAACAGTGCTTAATGTTGATTGGTTAATTTTTATTTTTTTAATTATGTTTTATAAATCGGGGTCATCAGATTACTCAAAGAAAGATAGTCTCATCAATATCTTTAATTATTATTTTCAATAATACTCAAACAAAGAATAAATACTAAAAAGAAGAGTTTACAATAATATAACTTTATATTATTTCTTAATAAAAATTTTAATAACCTATTATTTATTATTAACATAATTAAATATTTCTTTCAATTTTTAAAAAATTTACAAAAAGTTTTATAGTGTCATATATACAAAATGAAGTGGTTAATTTTTAGTACTACATTAATAATTTGGAATTATATAATATCTTGTCAGGATATTGTTTTTCCAAGTGATGAAGAAACATATCACATAAACGACAATAATGAGACAGTAAAAAAATTAATTTAATATCGCAAAAATAATTTTAAAAAATTTTTTGAAAAAAAAAATTTTTTTTATTTAGATAGCAGAACATAATCCAATATTTATACCAGATTCATGTCCTAAAAATATGCTTCTTTATCCTGGACCTGGAAATATAAGTACATGGATATGTGATTGTAAACCTGGATTTCTATATTTTCCATTGAATAATAGTTGTCATGAAGCATATAGACAAGGACCATGTGCACCACAGCATTATGTTATGCTTCCTAAAAATGAAGTTATACCAAAATGTATAAAAAATCCTTGTCTGCAGGATGGTATAGTACAATATAATAACACATGTTATTCTTTAAGAACTATAGGTGGATCCTGTGCTCCTAATAAAGAAATAGCAGTAAATATAATTACATTTGAATTAGAATGTATATCAGAAATTAAGCTATATACAATAATCGAAGCATCTGAACAATGTCCTATTGGAAGTCGTAGAAATATACTTGGAATATGCAAAGAAATAAAAAATATTATTACGTAATAAATTTTTATTTTTTATATAAAAAGATATTTATTCATTTGAGTTTTTTTATATAATAAATTTCGATATACTCTTATATAATATAATAATATATTGATATATTAATAATGATATATTATAATAATATATTAACATATTTACAAAATATAGTTATTATTATATTTATTTTTGCTTATAACATAAAATTCTTATTTTGCATATTCATAGGATGTAATTTCAAATATCTATACTCACAAAACTATCAATTTCCATCATTATATTTTTTTTTTAATATATTTTTTTATAAATGTATTTTTATAATATATTTTTTTATAAATGTATTTTTATAATATATTTTTTTATAAATGTAATAACTATTGTAATTTATATTGTTCTGACATATTATATACAATTAGATAAAAATATTATACAATAATACAATAAAATATTATATTAAATATATATCATTAATATTATTTAAATTAAATATATTAATTTTAAATTAAAGATACTGAATCTAAATTCTAATACTAGTTATAAAAACTATAAATTGTAGTTTTATACAGTCTTGATATGTATAAAGATAAAAATATATATAATAAATTATTTCTTTTAATCACAAATCATATTCAATTCTACATTATAATTTCTTAAGTTTGATAAATATAGTTTTTCAATTTTTTTTAATAGATTAGTAATCATATTAAGTCATATATAATTATATTAATTATAAAGTGTGCGTTTAAAACTAATTTCATTGAATATAAATATTTTTCTAAAAAGTAAGAATAATATAATGTTAAAGTTTAAATATGTTACACAATCATATTTTTAAGTTGATTCTTGTATTTCATTATTTCTAGCTGCCTCTATTAATCTTTGTCTTTCTCTGTACATTGAAACTTTCATATTTTCTAATTGATGATATCGCAATAATTTTAATACTGCAAATACTGATAGACCAACCCAAATAGATAAACTGGTCCAAGTACCAAATTGAACTGCACCCAATTCAATATGAAAACCAGATGTATCTATACCATCAGCTTTATCAATATCATTCCCAGCTGCTAATTCACAAGATGGAAATCTTTTAGTCATACATTGACACCAAGTCATAAATCCAAGTGTAATAATAATTGCAGCAATTAAAGTTATTGTTGTGAGAAATATTGAACTAACAACATCTATGAATGCAGATAAAAAGGAACTGTCTTCTCCACGATACATAAGTAAAGAAAGTCGATAAATTTGTATTGCTGATGTTAATAACAATATTAAACCAACAAATATTGTATAATTACAATAAGCTTGTGAAGCCCAATTTACTATAAATTGACCATCTGATTCTTGCCAAGTTCCTGTTGAAAATAATAGACAATGTCCTCTGTAAACAAATATTAAATAGATATATTTTTTTACATAAATTTTAATACTACTTTTTATGTGCCTTAAAATATTTATTTATTTATTTAAAATAACAATTACCTAAATTCGTCTTCATGTAAACTCATTGGTATGATAATACAAAGTGACAAAACAAGAGCTACGACATATCCAGATATTTGACTAAGAAGTAAAATATTGGTTAGTGCCATCTTTTAAATAATAATAAAAAAATTGATTTCGCAGTATATTATAGAAAAAACAATTCTTAATAAATTTCTCATATATTAAATATGATTTTATTAAATAATTTTAAACACAGATCGCTTAATTACTATATAATTAAACTTCTTAAAAAAATTATATATATATTATAGAAACTACAATGAATATAGATACATACAGGCTACTAAACTTTCCATTTAACATTGATTATTTTTAAACAATTTTATTTGAGCGATTAAATTATATTTTACAAATATAAAAAATTTTGTATAAAAATATTCATTCATGAAATATCATTAATATACATGAAAAATTTAGTAAATAATTTAAATTATTAAAAATAAAAAAAAAATAAAAATCTAAATAAATATTTAGTGCTTTTACATATTTAAAAAATTATTCGTATATATATTTTAAAAAAAAGTAATAAGAAAATTTTTATTTTTTTAATAAAAAACCATTTTTATAAAAATCTTTTTTTACATAAATATGCTATACAAATTTTTATAGCATATTTTTAAAAATTAATAATAATATTTTAATAAAAATAATTTGCATTTTATGTATTAATAATAATAAAGGATAAAATTAATTTTCTTTAAACATCTTTTAATGAATAATATTTAAAAAATCAAATATAACTTAATTTTATTTATCGAATTTTAATGCATTATTTTATTCATTACTAAAGAATAAAAAATAAAACTGATTATAATAAATAAATAAAAACTAGATATACTTTAGCTTAATAAAATTTTTATATCATATAAGATAGAAATATAGAATGAATTTCAATCGCTACAGGAAAAGTGAAAGATTATTGGAAAACACAAATATCAGTGCATCTCTTTTCATAATCATAGTCAGCTGATTTCAGTCAATGAGACACCAGTGTTTCATTTCAGTGTTTGTCCGATAGTCAGAATTCTATGTGTGTACGCATGTGTATATGTATGTGCGTGTAGTGTATCCAAAGGAAAATATTACGCAGCTAGAACCCCGTTACATCCGAATCACCGTATTGTGTTAAGGATCATTGCACCAAAGTAGACACGTGTTAGAAAAATGGAATTCACGTGTTTTTCTTACATTGTGCCCGAATAACAGGCCTAATACAAAACGTATGAAGAAAATTATTTTTAAAAATCCCATGTCTTTTATAGATTAGATTGTCAAACGTGGGTATAAAATGTCTTGGTTGGGATGTATTCCTTGGTCTCAAGGAATAAAAAAACGAGCTTGCAGATATCTTTTACAAAGATATCTGGGTCAATTCTTGGAAGAAAAATTAACATTAGATCAACTCACTGTAGATCTGTACAATGGAACTGGTCGTGTAACCAATGTCAGCCTTGATGTACAGGTATTATCACTTTCTTTGTTTTAAATTTCTTTGTTAGTCTTTAGTAAGAAAAAATAAACATACTGTTTTGAATTATCTAAAATAATTTTTTTATGCATAATAATTTAAAAAAATAGAAAAAATGAAATTTAAATGAAATTTAAAATGAATTTTTTATCATAATAGGCTCTTAATGAATTAGGAGAGCAACAACATCTTCCATTAGAATTTGTTGATGGTTTTGTATCAGAAATGTCTGTTAGTATACCATGGTCAGCTTTGCTCAGTGAAGCTAGTTATGTGGAAGTAACAAGTTTGAGATTAACAGTTCAACCTAGACAAAGAGTTAAAAATGGAACTTCAATGTTTGAGTCTATGTGGAGTTCTATGACATCTAGTATGCAACTTGCACAAGAATGTTTACAAGAAGATGCTAAATATGCTGGAAATTCACAACCATTAGAAGGAGTAGAATTGTTTGCACAAACAATAGATTCAAGTAAAAATTTGTTAAAAATGCATTATATGTATATAAGTAAAAATTATATATATATGTATTTGTCTTTTTTAGTTTTATGTAGAGTGAAAGTGAGATTTATAGATACTGTTATACGTTTGGAACATGTGCCACTGGATTCTTCGACAGGAGTTGCAATAGAAGTGTGTATAAAAAATCTTGAATATTCAGATGAAGCTGGATTAGATCCAAGCAGTACTTCATTAGATCCTAGTCAATCAACAAAAGGATATGTTGTGTCAGCATTCACAACAAAACGATTTTATTTAGAAGGAGTGACTTTCCATACAGATGAATTCCCATCTCGAGCAAGAACTTTTTCTAGAAGCATTATAACATCTAGCAGGGGTTCTACACCAGAGTCTAAAGTAACTTTTATTAAAAGTTAGTAAAAATATATAAATTAAGAATTTTGTTTGAAATATTTTTTTTATAGAATTCAGATTGTCATTTCTCTTCTGTGCAAGTATCTAGTACTCAAAATATACAAACTTCTCCAGAAGGAAATATTATTAATAATTTAAGTGAATCAAATCCTATAATGTTTGCTAAGTTAGCAGGTAGACAAGAAATAA